AGAAGTCTTTGGGTGGAGTTGGATGAACTGGAGCCTACAGAGGCACAGTGGGAAGGTGAGGGGACTGTAGTCTGGGAAGAGGATTGTGTGTGGGGGTTGGGGGATGGGATGTTTCATGGGACAGTCTTCCATTAAAGATAGTCACATCTTTCCTGTGTGTGGAAATGCACGGGAAAGTGAGGCATGTGCAAGTACCTGTCTCTTTAACCTGCTCTACAACCACTTAAAGAGCTCAAGCACACCCAAGAGCCAGAGGAAGTGCCCGCTCCTGGGCTAGAGCCCAATCCGGGTGTGATAGTGCTGGAGCCTTCTGGACCACCAGCTGTGATCCGAGAGCCAGCTCCATCCCCAACAACCGACTACCCCGTGGCTGTGACCCTTAAGCACCATAGAAGGGAAGAGAAGCTTGGCCTCCTGACCTTCCCTCCAAGACTGGTGGCTGAGCAAATAACAGCGATGGATGCAGTGAGTCTTGGTCTTTCAAGGTGGGAGGGACAGGACTTTCCTCTGCCCTTGGCTGCCCAACCTGCCTTTCCCTGATCTCAACTCCTATGATCTTGATGCAAATCGCAGCTCAATCACTTTACCACCCATGGGTCCTTGACAACTTTCTCAACCCCCAAGCATTGCTGTCCAGCCAACTCTGTGGGCTGTGGAGGTGGGCACCCCAGGCCCTGCTGCACAGCGTGGCTGTGCAGATTAAATGAGGGAGAGGAGACAGAAAGCTGGGTGGGGCGTGGCCAGGATTGTGGGGAGGGGAGCTCTCTGTGTGCAGCCAGATCCATGGGTCACCCATCTATGAGTCCATAGGCTCACCAGTCTCAGCATTTATCAGACCCATGATGTGTATTTAACACTAAGTGACACAAACAGCTGTGGTTATAGCTGTCACAAGGGAATGTGCACTGAATGGGGAATTATTCCAGAGGGATGTCAGATGATGAAAGATGCCCTTTTGGGGTGAGCAAACATAAGCCACTTCCTGGAGCTTGGAGTCCCTGAGGATGGGCTGGAGGGAGATACTCCTGACCTTTCCCCCACCCGTCTTGGGCCATGGATCATCCAGTGCTTGGTGCCCAGGGTGGACAGAGAATGAATCTCATGGACTCCAAGGCTCAGGCAAATCCTCAGCTTCCTGAGCTTCAGTTTTGACTAGTGTCTCTTTCAGGGACTGGGAACCCTGAACTGGGTGGTGGCAGGGCTGGGTGACACTCCCCTTTCTTCTCAGGAGCTGTTCAAGAAGGTGCTGCCACACCAGTGCCTGGGCTCTGTCTGGTCACAGAGGACTAAGCCTAGAAAGGCGCACATGGTATCCACTGTCAGTGCCACTGTCTTACAATTCAACCTCGTGGCTACTTGTGTGATCACCACCTGCCTTGGGGACCCAAGCATGACGGCCCAAGTCAGGGCCAAAGTGGTGGAGCACTGGATTAAGGTGGCCAAGGTATGTTAGGGGAGGCGCACCAGCATCCCTGTGAGGGTCCGTGAAAAATGCCTCTGCTGCCCAGACAGCTGTCTGGACTGAGGACTGAGATCAGAGCCCCAGCACAGCCTCCACGTACCTTCTGCCAGGCTCACTCAGATTTTGTCTCCCCCGTCCCTGTGCTGGGAGGTTCACTTCGTTCTTGGCTCCTTCCTTGATTTGATTTGGGATATTCCTCATTCTGAGAGTTGGTATTTGGGTGCTAAATGTGCCCACCCTGAGCATCTGTCCTATCAAGAGGAGCAGCCAATCTAAGGTGCCTGAAGCGACAGCACATGTCTCACAGCACATGTCTCCTCTTCCCCAGGAGTGCAGGACCCTGAGGAACTTTTCCTCCGTGCGCGCCATCCTGGCCGCTCTGCAGAGCGTGTCCATTCATCGACTGCAGGAGACTTGGGGGAAAGTTTCCAGGTGTGTAGGCCTCTCCCATCACAGCAAGCCTGCTAATGTGTCTCCCATATGTCTCCCAGTGTCCCCTCACCTCCTGGGAGGCAGCCAACCCTAGGGACAAAGACTGGTCTTGTGGGCCGGGTCTCTAAGGCTCTCTGGCTCCTCAGGCCACTAACTCTTCTTCAGGAGTCAGTCTCCTTCAATGCCAGACACTGCATTGATCCAAATGGGAGATTTTCATGTTTTCAGTACCAGAACCCTATGCCCAGTTGAAACCCAAACTGATCAAAACAGAACTTCTCCTTCTATTTGGAAAAGGAGCCCAGAGACCACCATGAGAGTCCTACCCCAGTCCCACGGAAACCCTCCTGCTGAGAGGAACCTAGAAATACCCTCACCAAGGCAGTACGAAACATGAGATTGTTTAAAGGAATTTGCTGTTAACCTTTCTCGCCAATTTTTCCTAATCATGTCTTTCCTCCTTCCATCTCTCCAGGAGGCACACAGTTACCTTTAAAAAACTGTTCAAAGAGGACAACTCCCGAAGCAGGGAACAGTTCATCAAGGTAGAGTGAGCCTGGACATCTGTAGAGAGGAGGCCAAGAGGGATGGGGAGACTGCACAGGCTGTAGCTTTGGTAGTTTGTCACTTAAAGGTTCCCTGGAAATGTTCACCCTCTAGGTCCCAATTACCAGGAAGAGGGATCTCCTTGGTCCATGTGCAGGTGGAACAAAAGAGCTGCTTGGCCTCAGGTCCCACTGGCTGGATCAGAGACAGAGGGGTGTGCTCTCTGAGACTTCCTACTGGGCCCCTATAGCACTCGCTGCCAGTCAGTCCCCTCCTGATTGGCATGCAGGGGTGACCATCTGTGCTGCTGGCCTCACAAAGTGGTCACGATTTCAGGACAGGAAAGATCTGTGCAGAGCTCCCTGCCCTGTCCTACCTGGAGGGCTGAGTGTGAGAACAATGATGACAGGAATGACACTGAGTCCTCAGGAGAATCTGTGAGCTAGGTGGAAGTTACCCGCTTTCAGAGGATGGATGGGTTAGGGAGGTCAGGCCCAGGCCTTGGTCAATCACACCGAGTGAGCATTGTAGCTGGGAGGCATCCAGAATCAGAGCATGCTGGAGTCAGTGTGGCACTGGTACCAGCTGACTTGGGTCAGATGTCCAGGGTGTGAGGTCAGGAGTGGTGGGGAAGTGGGGTGAGGTGAGCATGAGCTCAATGACTCTGCCATCCACCCTGGTGGAATCAGTCCTCCAGGTTTGCCTCTATGATGTTCTGCCTCCGAAGATCCAGGAAGGGGCTGCACAAGAAGGTGAGTGAGCCTGTCTGGGGAATGCTCCGTGGTCAGAGCAGAGGGTGTTTGTGCTCCCCACTGGAGGCCTCCAAGTTAAGAGAGGGAGATTTTCTTCCTCCAGCCCCATCTCCTGTGCCCACAGAACCTAAAACCCTCCCTCAGACGTGACCAGGAGGAGGGCCTGGGGTAGCTGAGTGTAGGATGCACATGGGCGTAGGTATTGCCCAAATGAGATCCTGGGAGGTGATCAAGAGGGGTTCCTGCAGATGAGGGAGGAAGCAATTGAGTGGAGGCCCTTAGGCACCTGGGCTATTTCACATGAGAACCCTGAGTTGGTCGGGTGGCTGAGAGTGAGAGGCTTTCAGGAGAGGGTCAGTGGGCACCTGAGTGAAGGGGCTGATCCCACCCTCACCCTGTTTGCCCAGTGTGTTCCCTTCCTGGGAGAATACTTGACTCTTCTGCACAGGATGGATGCAAGCATGAAGGATGATCTGCAGGTTGGTAACTGGGGCCTGAGCTGGGGTGACCAGGATTCATCTTGGGGGACAGAAAGCCCCATACTGAGCCCTTACTGAGTTCTCAGCACAGTCTCCCCTTGGAGCTGGAGCAACAGGCTCATCATAGCAACATGTTACACCTCCTCTGGAGCCAGAACCTAGCCTTGATCCAAGTTCTGTCTTTTCCAGTTTCCCAACCCCTCCTGGGTCTTGGTGGTAGTGTAACATGCAAAAGATGGGCACAAGGGTTTCTTTCTGATGGACCTTAGATGTCTGCCTTTTAGGGGGAGTCAGATCAAAATAGAAAAAAAAGCAAAGAAAAGAAAACCTGAGCTGCTTGGCACCTCCTGAGGAGCAGGGTAGGGGAGTGAGAATCAGACGCCCTGGCCAGCACACGTAGGGGCTTCACCTCCTGCATCTTCCATTTATTGGGAGATTTTGATAACGGAATGGGGAGAACCCTCCATTTGATGGCTGAGGGCATGGGAGTGGCATCAAAGATAACCTTCTAGAGGAAAGGCTGTTGATGGACATCTCAGTATAGGAAGGGTCTGGGTGGAATTAGGTGGAAGCAGGATGCCCCTGTGTTCAAAGATTGAGAGCTGTGCCCCTGCTCCACTCTGCACTCGCACTGAGGCAGTATCTGCATCCTCTCCTTCCCTCTGGCCCCAGGTGGACAAAATACTGCAGGAAATAGTGGTGCTGCAGGAGGCTGCCCAGAAGTATAAAATACAACCTGAGAACAACTTCCAGGCCTGGTTCTGGGCCCTGAAGCGGCTCAGTGAGCATGAGAGGTGAGGCCGGGCAGGAGTTGGGCAAGGGCAGGAGTGGACGCTTTCTGCTGGTCAGTCCAGAGAACCATTGTCCATGGCTCCCTGATCCTGCACAGACCTTGCTGTGTAGCAATTCCTGGGGCTCCTGACCCTGGGAGGGACAGCAGAGGCCTGGGAGCTCACAGGTGCCACTCTGTCCTGCAGTTACATCCGGTCCTGCCAGCTGGAGCCACAGTCGTAGGAAAGTATTCTGGACCTTAGAGACTCAATGTGAACTATACCTATTTCTCTCTCTCTCTCTATATATATATATAGTTATAATCCCATGTAAATATACCTTTTACAGTAGTTATAACTACATTTTTATTACGTTTATGTTTTGTAAAATATTTACCAATATTAAAATTATTTCTGCAAAATGATATCTTCCAGTATCTTTTTTCCTGCTTCATGATAAATTATATAATTTGCCCATAGTTAATGGACTTAAAATTATTTTCTTCTCTATTTTATGAATAACTCTTTGATGATAACTGTTGTATAGGTACCTCTGAACATTTATTGAATTCATTTTGAATCATTTCCTGCAAATAAAATTTGTTTCACAAAAGCACATTTGATATTTTAGTAAGTATGCATTTTGAATCATTTCATCAAATTTGGGAACTCTTCAGCTTAGTAGATTGGGTTAAGAGGAATTCATTCCCTGGCCCCTTTCTGAGGTCTGTGTTGAGCACCTCCTATGGGCCAGGCACTAGAAGCACAGTGCTCAAGGAAACAGAATGTCTTGATGGCATGTTTGTATGAAAGAGTCAAAGCAGCCAGCATGTGCATACAGTGAAATCAGAATGCATGCTCTGAACAAACAGTAAAGCAGAGAAAGAGATAAAAGCTTAAGAGGTAATGTTGTGTGTAGGATGTTGTGAACGTTTGTGGGATGGAGGTGATAGTTGAGGCTGCTTTGGGCATATGCATAGATGACCAGCAACGTGGAAACATCCCAGCTGAGCCTCCACTTTGGGCTCTGGTTGCAAAGTGCTCTAGGTAACTCCTGATCTGAGGGAGAAGGTGTATCCAGCCTCATTCTTCACTGAAGGGAGGACAGAGCACCCAGCCCCTAGCCTGTCCAGACCCCTTACCATGAATTAACCTTTCATTGTGGTACCTATGGTGAAGACTTAGTAATTACAGGCCTGGGAATTACACAGCACACCTAGGGCCACACAGCAAGGTATTTAGGAGGTAAGAGGATAGAAAGGGGAAAGAGAAGAACTAGAGAAACATTTGAAATAAGGTAAGAAATGGAATGTGCAAGACTAAAAGCAGGAAAACAAAAATGTAAAGATAAGGTAAAGGGAACTTGTAAAGCATTTCATACTAACAATGAAAATGTTTAACAGCTGAAACAATGTAGGGAGTTGTGACTTTTCATAGCACATTAAAATAGTTGTTTTTCTTAAACTATGTAAGAATGAGATGTTAAAGAGAAGAAAATGTAAACATGAAGGCACTGAGTAGCAAGAAGATGCCCTCACATTCCCCAAATAGAAAAATGGCGAGATGAGGTTGAATACAGTGGAAATAGGAATAAATGTAAAATAGTAGAGAGCAAGGCCATTCACAGTTCTATAATCTTGCTGAGATACCAATAAAGCAAAATAGACCAATATAGAAAGAAGAAAAGGTATGTGGGAATGAAATAGGAAACAAAAGAGATATTTGTGTTCTGTTAATCTTCTGATATATATGTCCAATTAATTGAGTGTATCTGTCTCTGAGTCACTTGTCTTGCCACAATGCAATTTGATGGCCATGCATGGGATTGTTTTCTACAAGTATTATTTGGTTGAGAAACTATTACCCAACAGTTAGGGAAAATGTAACCTGCTTGGCTTTCCAGGAAGATTATTCTGGACAAACATCTTTATCCCCATCTTCAATGCTTAATACACAAACAATTGATAATCTTAGACCAATATTTTCATCTTTACAATAAAAAATTGGACTAGATACTATTTTCAGTTCAAAAGTAGGTTTTTTCATAATAAAAATAAGTCATGAGAATAGGTAGGAAAGAGCAAGAATTAAAGTAAGTGAAAATCACCCACATACTAAATTGAAGATAAGTATTCATACTTTTATATGTCTTTTCAGATATTCTAAACATAGGTAAATAATACACTCCACAATTTAAAAGCATGTTATATTTCTGTTTGCTAATATGTCTACATCTAATGTGAAAAATATTTCTTCCTGGCCGGTATGGCAAGGTAGTTATGTTCCTGGGAAAAGCCAGGTTGGGCCCAGGCTGCCCAACGCTGTGTCCAATAATTCAGAAGGTTGAATCATATTAGGTGTCTACTGGGAAGGCTAGCCACCTAGAAGACTGAGCTCTTACAAGCATCAAATCCTGTCTCCTCAGCAAGGCACAGGGGATAAGTTTATACAGAAAAAGGGGGTAGGGTGAGGCAGATCTGGAGGTCTGTAGATTTCAGCTATTGTCCTTTAGTCCTCAAGTGATGAGATGATGTTGATGAGATAAAATCTTGAATCATGGTGGGTTGATCTGAATCTGCTTATTGGTTCTGCTTGCTGGATTCATAGATAAGTCAACTCTTCAATTGCTTTGCAAAGGCCTTGAAAAGGAAACTTTAAGAAAAATTTAACCCCCTGTTCATATATGAGAAATTTAACCCTGTATTCACATAAGTATTTGTGTTCTAAGATTTAAAAACATGATTAAATTTCAGATTAATTCAGGTCCTCAATCTATCAGATTATAGGTCCCCTTCATCATTCCTCCTTCTCTGATAAGGTTGATATCTTCAACCTTATGCTATATTTAATTTTATTTTTAAATTCATTATATTGCTATAGCGCCACTAATTTCACCTCTGCTATGAGGAGATTACCCCTGTTAAGTCTGATGACTGGAAAGGACCAAACAAATTCTGTGTG